ACCAATTAAATAAAAAATATTGCATTTAAATGAAAAATATCAAATTGTTGCAACCAATACCATGCCATAGCAGACAAACAATATATACGTACAGGAAATACACTTTTTAGAAACTGCTTATCCCGAAAACAGTTGATAAGTGTGTTTTTTTTTTCAATAGTTGGGGTTTCGTTGTCTAAACCATGGTTTTACCTATTTTCTTCTATTTACACAAATCTAAATGACATATAAACTTTTTTTGTGTTTTGTGTTTTGTGTTTTTTTTCCTGATTTGTATGTTATTTTGGGAATTTGTTGTTGTTTTCTTATACCCCTAAAACAAAGTTACCCTGTCCGTCTGTCTATTTTCTTGTCAGCGCAACACCTCCTACGCGGACGAAACTTTACAAATTTGTTAAAATTATCCAACATGTAAAAGGGGAGATAATCAAACGTACTAAATGCAATATACTAGTTAGTAATAGTGACAGTTATTATTAACTACTACCTTGTGAACTAGCTCGTTTAAATGCATTCGGCTTAGCATGTCGGTCTAGTACAAATCTTAGTTCATATCCATATCACATTATCATGTTCTCGTCCTAAAATGCATGTACTGTTTTCTTTGGACGTTAAACACCAATCAATCAATCGTTTGGTTAACTGTGATGTTTTTGTTGTCGTCTTATTGACGTTTTCCCAACATCATCTTTCTTCATTTTCAAAAAAAGATAGAGAAGATACTAAGGGGGTGATAGTAAATGATAATTCCAATAAAATAAATAGAGAATGTGTCCATGAGACACAGATTATGCCCCCGAGCTTGCATATAGCGTTATAAAGGGGCCTTTTATAGCTTGTTGCTCGGTGTGAGCCAATGCTCCGTGTTGAAGGCCGTACCTTGACCTATAATGGTTTACTTTTATAAATTTTAACTTGGATGGAGAGTTGTCTCATTGGCACTCATACCACATCTTCCTATATCTATAACTCGAGAACGTATATGTATTAGCACCTACAGTGATGTCAGTGGTAAACCATCTCAAATTAAAAAACAAATGAATAGGAGCGTACCCTTCAATCATCAGATCTTCTTGAACATGCATGAAATATTTTCCACTGGACGTTAAGCAACCAACAATCAATAAATCATTTATTTAACGGGCCAAGATAACAGAAGCGTTTGAAATAACCGATGAGATAAAAAAATGACTACAAACAAAACATCGGAGCATATTAGTATCGAATGAAAATGCATTATACCTATAATTCGTACTTACCGAAAAAAGATCAAGGACAAAAGCAATACCAAATTCGACAGAAAATAGAAAAATAAATTATGAAAGTATATAGAACTATTGTTTTATGGAGATGTCTCGAATAGAGCAAACACGTATACGGGTGATAATTACAACCTCTTTCGAATTTTCTATGTGAAGTACTATAAAATGTAAGCTTACAAACTGTTATACAGTTATATTTACAGGTACTTTATATATGTTACAGTGAAATTGTAAAATCAGGGATTCTTAACTGATTAGTGATTTTATAAAATCCCTGATTTTGACTAAGGATTTTACAAAATCACTGAAATAATAATTTGTTTTTTACAGATTCCCTGATTAAATTCAGGGAATTTGTAAAAAAAAAATTTTTTTGAGTAAAAAATCCTTAAAACAAAGTCTAAAGCAGTCACACTCAACAATTTTGAGGTTAATTTAGCCTTTTATATTAATACTAAGTGAGCAATTTTCACCAAACAACTGACATACTGTAGAAAAATGGCACAGACATATATGTCTTTCAATCAGGAGCAAATTTACACACAAAAGTTTCTTCAAATAATTGAGGGAAAATTAAAATGTAACAAATGGAACCAGTAAAAATTTGAAGAAATATGAAGAAATTTTAAAACTTATTGCGTCACAGAAAGAAGACAAAACAAGCTATTATTATTACCTTGTTCGAAACTAAGTTAATGTTTATTATATAGTGATTCTGTAATTACTGAAAAGTATAAACCAATTATATCAAATTTTATAATCAAATATAAAGACAGTACATTGGAGTGGTTGCTGTTATGAGAGGAGAAAAACACATATGGAAAGAGTACGAAATTGATTGGTTTAGGCTATGTGATCCAGTGGCAAATAATACATGCATATCAGGATGAGAGAATCTTATTGTGACATGTAAATTGATATATAAAAGGCAAACAAGTGTTGTATCTTTAATTTGCAGCCTATAAAAGACATTTATATCCACACTATAAAAGTAAAAAACAGAAGACAACAGATAGGTAAAGGTAAAAATACTTTGTTTTGTACTTGCATTTCTTACTTTGGTCATATCTCAGATACTCCTAGTCTTATACATGTTTTCTATCACAAAGTGATCAAACTTTAAATACGTTTCTATACTTTTTTCACTCTTTAGACTATGGCCAAATCAAATTAAAAGTAAATATTTGTTTAATGTAGGTATGAAGTTCTTCAATGTGGAGATGTGAAAAAGTCGTAAAAAAGCCGGTATTCATCAGATGAAGATATCAAATATTATGTATGTCTTGAAGACATGTACAACATAGTCTTATTACCAAACATGGCATTTTGTTATGGTCATACGCTAGAAACCAGCTTAAATCCAATGATTCCCTGCTTTTGAGTCCGTCAGCTGTATTGATTGACAATTTCTTTCTTTTCGACAAGCAGTTATAAAAACTGTCTTCCATTTGTGATGAACAAGGTTTTTTTAAAATGTCGATGTTCTGGAAAGAATAGATGTGAACAAAATAGGTGTGCCTGTTGAAAAGCAGGGCAATTGAGAAAAAAGTAAATGTCACCCAAACTTATCAGGCAAAAATAAGTAAATTGTAGTCTTACTATCAGTTTATATGCCTATTATTCATAATCACTGTACAAAAGTTTTAACTTGGACTAGTATTATTTATCAAAAAAATATATTTCAAAATCACTGGTTTATTTGAATGAAGAAAAACACATTTCTAATATCAAGTTTAAACTTGTAATTAGGGATTTTACAAAATCCCTAGCAATATTTTCAGTGATTTGTAAAATCACTAATTATTCCAGGGATTTTACAAAATCCCTGATTTTACAAATTCACTGTAACATGTATATATTGTGATAATTATTGACTTGCTAATAACATGTTGTTTTTTGTTGTTGTTTTTTTTGTTATATACATTAATTTAAGAAGAAAAAATAAGAAAAATAAACTGACAACAAATAAACTTTGATCTCTGGTGGCTAGTTGTCTCATTGTTCGTGACAAACACCCTGGAATCAGAACATAAGGCAATTTCAAATTCATCATATCATTTAATTTGAATTTCAAATTCATCATAACATTCAAGTTGAATTTTAAATTCATCATAGCAATCGATTTGAGTTTGAGGAAATGATTTTTCCCCTACCAGATTAAAGTTGATTTATCTTTCAGTTAATTCATGCAATCGAACATACATACATGCAAAACACAATGCACTGCTGCATATTCTGCTACTGATCTTTATATCTTATTTACAATCCAAATGGATAAATCTTGTTATTTTAAGTGAACATAATAAATGTTTTCCATCGTTAGATAAATGATACGTTTAGTATTTGACGAAGATGCACCAGGTCTGTGGAGATGAAAGATCGTCAGAACACCTGTCAATTAATTATAGACGTCTGCAGAAACTCGTTCATTTGTACAATAGGCAACAAGTACATTGACACCCTGCTGACATGTTCAGCTAATCAGCCGTTATAAAAACATAAAATTGGTTTTGAGAACGCGATTTAACAATTAATATTATCAGTTATACAACTTTGTGTCAACTAATTACATTAAGACATGGAAACTCAAACAATTGTACACAGTACACAGTTAGATAATGAGACAAAAAGAATACACATACGAGAGTATCGATGGGGCTTACAGAATAGAGAATAATGGGTAAAAACAAATAAAAAATAGAGAAAATAGGCCAACCACCCCCCCCCCCCCCCCCTTTCCCCCCCAAAAAAAAACGAATGCAAACAAAGGGATGCTATAATATAAAAAAAAGAACAATTTCAAAACTAAATACAGAATGGAGAAAACATCTAAACAATTAAAGAATACAGAAACGAAGAACTCACATACATAGATCTGTAATCAGATTTTAAACGATCATAATTTTAACACGATACCTTTTGATGTCAGTACAAGATGTAATTTTATCAAAAACCCAATCAATGGTCAATTAAATATAGACATTTACACAATTTACATATCTTTCATCATATACTAGTAATTAACTTCAAATTATACTTTTAAACTTTGTATGTTATGATTAAAGTATTTAAATATATAATGACTTCCAATGAATGTATGCCCTAGATACTAAGTATACAGTATGGAAAGGGCTGTTTATCACCATCCAATGACATTTCTGTATAAGCTAAGGCTACACGCACCTCGCTTAAATGCGGACTTGTATCTTTTATTTCTTAAACAGATTTATTGTCGTTGCAGCTGTTTTGTCATCTCAATTATATTTCCACAAATACAAATGCTATGAAATGGCTCTTAAAATACATAAATGTCGAAATTGCTTTAAAGTTCAGACTATTTTATTATTATTTAAGTAAAACTCATTCAATTAAATACGAACCTTTCAAAACAGTTACTATGCCTCTCCAATACCGAAAGTTATGAGCATTACACGTATGGTAATGTTATTCCTACTTTTAAAATGAGGCTGAAAAATTATTATCCGCGTTTACAGAATAACTCGCATCGTTGCACTTCCTTAATTCGTTCTCACGCTGATACAAAATAAGCTTTAATTGTCCGTAAGTAAGGACATAACACATAGTAAAATCCACCTAGGGTCAACTTTGCCTGAGGGAGTTGAAACTTAAGTTTCTTTATATATATAATTTGTTTAAATTTAAACACAAACAATTGTAGAAAGTTTTGTTCAAAATCATATTACTGTGAAGATGTGGGCAAAAAAAAAATTAACCACAATCTATCAACGTTCATTTCTTATATTCAAATAAAATTTCAAATAATACACAATCAATCTGATATATGCATATTTATCACCAATACTCATTATTTAACTTTTCATAAATAAATCAAATGTGTATACAATAGATGTTGCTGTAAAATTTGTTTACATTATTATTCATAAGAATGTATCAACGTCTTGTCCGGATGTCTATTTTGACAGTCGTCCATTTATTTCACTGGACAGTGTATAACATATGACCCAAGTGACAGTTCAGAATCATGTTGTATATACAATTTGCCTTTCTCAAACTTTATGTCATAGACATCTTGCTGAAAAGAAAAAAACAAAGTTTTTGATTGATATACAGATCATGTGATCCAATCTTTGCTTACAGGGATCTGAAAACGCTTCGTTCTACTTTCTGTTTTAAAGACCTTTCAGGATCCTCTGGTTTTGTCGAATTAATATACACCTTCAAAAATGTGAAGGCTGAACTTTCATTGGCTGATGTAATTATTACCAGAACAAAAAGTAAAATCACAAAAATACTGAACTCCGAGGTAAATTCAATCGGAAAGTCCCTAATCACATGGCAAAATCAAATGACAAAACACATCAAACGAATGGACAACAACTGTCATATTCCTGACTTGGTACAGGCATTAAAAAGTAAGACGGAGATTTGTCAGATCTTGTAAGCAGATTGAACCTTGGACACACGATCAGTATTTAAATCAGATTGTAAAAAATTTCAATTGAGGTTTATCTGATTAAATTACAGATCCTGAGTCTATTTTTTGCTTACAAGGATCCGACTATTTCAATCTGTTATGGTAATTATTACATCAGCAAATGAAACATCTGCCTCCAAATTTTTGGAGGTGTATATCATTAAGACAAAAATCGAGGATCCCGAAAGATCTTACAGTAGAACGGGGCGTAGTCAGATCCCTGTTAACAAAGCTTTGACACATGGTCTGTAATTTAATCAGATTGGATTTTTAACTATAAGTAATTTCATTCGAAGAGTATTTGATCATATAAGCAAACTTGTTGCTGTATATCATATTTGTTTTTCGTTCATTATTTTGTACATACATCAGGCCGTTAGTTTTCTCAATTGAATTGTTTTGTATTTGTCATTTCGGCGGACTTTTATAGCTGACTATGCAGTATGGGTTTTACTCATAGTTGAAGGCCGTACGGTGGCCTATACATCATTTGGTCTCTTGTGGAGAGTTGTCTCATTTGCAATCATACCACTCTTCTAATTTTTATATTAAGCATTGTGTATTTTCATTGTATTATTTATTTTTGTCCTCAGTACAGATCTGATGAATCAGGCCTTTTTCAACGGAATTTTAACGTTTGTTCTTATGTCGTGCCGTCAAACAACTGTCCCAGGTTGGTGGGAGGGTTGAGCGCTAACTTAAATGTTTAACCTCGATAAATTCTTTTGTGGCTATATATCCCAGTCCCAAGTTACGACCCTTTAGTCCAGTGTTTGTCGTCTGTCGTGATCGTCTTTTGTTTTAAAGTTATTAGATTAAATTGTACCGTTAGTTTTCTCTGTTGCACTCCCTCACATTTTGTCATGCTTACTATACGATATGGGCTTTCCTCATTGTTGAAGGCTTTAAAGTGACGACTGTAGTTGTTAACATCTTTGTCCATTGGTGAATAGTTGTGTCATTGGCAATCATATCACAACTCCTAAATCTTATATTTATCTTTAAGGATGTTCGCTCCTCTTGGTTTTGATTTTTTGTCAGATATTCGGAATCCTCTGGTTTTATCCATGTAGTGCTATTAAAAGTTTTGCCCACTTACCCCTACTTTTCTTTCCATAATTTGATTACATATAGTTTAAAATGTCATCTTTGAAAATCTTATAAAATCCTTGTTATTTTTTCATCGTTTTTGAAAGAAAAAAAGGTGTCAATGTTAAATGTATGAAAAATCTAGAGATAATTATTTCCCGCCAAATTTTCGATGGCTTTTATCTCGAAAACAAGCACACGGACCCTTAATTTTTTTCTGCTTTTTTTAGTTTTTTTATTTATATACTATCAATTTATAACAGTCTTTTAAAAGCTTGTTATTTTGAAACAGAGTAGCGAACATCCTTAATCAATTGATTAATGCACGCATGCACTTTCATGGTGGTTCTGTCCGACATATTACTGTTCATCTGCAATTCTAATTCCTAATCACCCAACACTCAAGTATGTTGTATCAAAGGAGATGTGTAGATCCTATGTATTTTACGAATTTGAATACTAAATCACTTCAATTCTCAAGCTCATTTCATCTTCACATATTAAAAAGAAATTTATCAAATAACACAACATAGATACTAATGAAAAAAAGTTATATCGATTACGCAAATTCAAATTGAGCTGTTGATAATATGGTATTAGTTTAATAAATTAGTTGTAAACGTGTAATATCGTGTTCACATTTCATCACACAACTACATGAATGTTGCTTGATTTAAAAAAAAAATAGAGTAATGGTTTGGCCTCCATCATAATTGATAGATTGGTGGTTGTTGAACGTCCAGTGGCAAATATTTCATGCATGTTCAGGATTAATAATACATACAATAGGTAGGTACTCAAATAGATGCCGTTCAAGCTGAGGGTTGTGGAAATTATGGCTGCCACTGGAAAATGAGGGAAGATTGGGCAGGGAGAGAAAATTTGAGTTACAACAGTTCACAAACGTTCTCCTCAAAGAGTTGTTGCAAGGGTTCTTAACGTGCAGAGAGCGTTTCAATTTAGCCTCCATAATGACTATTGGTCTATCTTTTCTAGCACATCCAGCACTGTTTAAAGCTTTTCGTCAATAAGATACTACAGATGTATTGCTATTTAAAGTTAACATGTATTTAACATTACCTGTAACCCAAGATCGTTTGCACCTGTTTTCAAATCAAACATGTAGGAATGCCACGGACACATCACGTGACACCTGCCATTGTAGTCTTCAATTTGTCCATGATATAAAGGACCACCTTAAAAAAGAAAACAGATGTAATCATTTTCTTTTTATTTTAATCTATCATAAAGTAAAATCAGAAAACACAAATGCAACTTTTTTCGATTTATGAGTTTGAATATCCCTTTGGTATCGTTAGCTTACTTTTAACAGTGGGGAATCGCTTTATCTCATTATTAAATAGTTCTAGATATACGTCGATCTTTATTGTAATAAAGGTAAAAAAGACGATATCACTTTTATTGATTTACAAAAATCATTTTTTTTCCACCAAAATTTCAAAAACCGATGAAACTTAAAATTATAAATATAAATATGATCGCATTAAAAGATTGAATGCTTGATAATTGTAGATACTCGATTACTTAATTGTCATCTCCGACAATAAGTGCCGATTTTTGTCATCATTTCTTGCAACTAGGTGTTTTATTCCATTCGTAATTGAACAGAATTTCTGAATGACATATGCAATTGCATTTGCAATGATTACATTGGATAATTAAAAAAATCTATTTATTGTATTTTATCTTAAACCTGGATATGAAACTTATGCATCGTTACATTTGTTGACTGGTGTATGTAAAGCACAGTTTTGAAACACTAAAATCTTCAAATATAGACATACTTTTGTTCATGTCTATACATATATGTATCTACATTTTTACAGTGCCTCTTTAAATTTCTCCTATTAGGCCAATTAAAATTAATTGATAGATTTTCATCCCCGCCCGCCCCTTTGAAATCGTTCCGCCCCAATTTTTTTTATTTTGAAAAATTTACGATTTCCGGATTTTTGTTCATTTTCGTTACCGGTAACTGTCGATAATTTCGTTTCATTAATAACATCCTGTTTCAAATTTTGGTTTTTGCATTTCTTTGTATGTTTGATTCGTTATACATGTATATACATGATAGAACCTTATTATTACACTTGCATATATGAAGAACACGTCACAAGAGCGTTTCATATCTAATAAAAAATAAAAAATAAAATCCTCCCACCCACCCCATTTTTTTCAAAAATTTGGATGAAAATCTACTAATTAAATTTACTTGGCCTTAGATTACAGAAATTTCTTATAAAATACCTAAACGCATTTAACTACATTAGAGCAAAAACATTGTACTAGTATTGATGTTCTTTGTTCTAAAGTCATAGTGAGACCTTCAACAAGGAGCAAGGTCAAAATGACCCTCGCCCCGTGGTTCGAGAAGATATTTTTGCTATTTACATAAGGTTCATGTATACTGGATCCATATTTAATTCCCATACCTTCTGTAGTAATTACAATTGCATTAAAATTTCAACTTCAACGTTCAGTCACCTATAAACTACGAGTTAAGTATGTTAAGGGGGATCACTCCTCAACTTTACATTTGTAGTACTGCATTTGTTGTATGAAATTTGAGCAAACCTTTATGTATCCATGTGAAACAAAATTAAAACAAAGCTGTGCTACAAAGGAGCCTAGAATTTATTTATATAACGTGTTAAAATTGTTGAACCAATGTTCTTGTGATTGTTTAGAGTAATATTTCTTCTACTAGTATGTTTACTTCCATGATTACGGAAAACACATTTTAAAATGGCATGGCCGGATCCAGGATTTGTGTTTAGGAGGGTGATCCTAATATAATTTTGCCGAGCGAATCGAGTCGGACATTTGTGACGTATTTTTAATTCCCCCAAAAAAAAATATTTTCCCGATTTTACAGGCAGCGCACGCTCGCTACGCCCCCGTATGAATCAATCAATCTTACTATACGGACAACTAGCAAATGGCAAAAAGTACAAGCACAGATTTGCGATTTGTGATAAGGAAATGACATTTTAATTTTGTTTAAAATTCAATGTAACATTGAATCGCAAACTAATAGTGTGTCGTTGTCTATAGAAATTAATGACTGTCACAAATCGATACAAAACTTTTACCATGATTACAGTATCGTACATGACATTCTACTGTTACCTTTTTTAAATACTTCCATAATATGCGGGCGTTGCGGAAGTCCAAATAGTCTGGCATGATTTATACTAGTATACGTTATAATTGTAAATTGTCATGCCTTATCTGTATTTATCGAAGTCATACTTAGCATAAATATGATAGAATTGTTTCTAATACTAAAGTTAAACCACTCTATGTCCGGGAAATGTTGAATTTAGATTGATATGGCTTTTCCGCTTGGTGTTATGCTCCAAATCGAAGTTTGAATTTGTGATTTTAAACTTATAAGAGGCATCTACTGTATCACAAGTCTGTCAGCACCAAGGTTGTGAGTTGGAACCTCGCACGTGGCAGGTGCGTTCGACTCAAATCTCAATTGAATATGTATGTCAGTTTTCCTGTCGAAGGTAGGTGTTTCTCTCCAGGCACTCCAACATCATCCACCAATAACAACTGACCGCCACAATATAGCCATTAGTGCTTAAAGTGGCGTCAAACACCAACAATCAATCAATCTAAGTATTCAAACTTATGATATCCGTTCTACATATTTTAAAAATGAAGGATGTTTTTTACAACCACGTGTTATGGCATCACACGTTAAAATAAAAAAAAGACGGTCGTCACTCTAAGCATATTAACATTAATAACGGGCGATATTTCAAGCACAGTTCTGAAAGGCTCCCAAAAATATAATAAAAAAATAAATTAATTGTCAAATCAGTTTCATGGTTTCACATGCAGTCTGATTATTCGGTATGAAATTGCACAATATGATAACAAACAGATTTGTGTTAACGCTTTGATTACAAAGATCAACCAACAGGCTGTTCTGTTTCCTGTTAAGGTAATTATTACATCAGCCAATAGAACTTTTGAAGGTGCATGTGTATCTTTTTTCGGAAAAAAAACCAAGAGAATCTCAAAAGGTCTTTAAATGAACGAATCTCTATTGCATTAGCAACAAGATTGCTTTAGCAAAATAAAAATAAAAATACATACATGACAGAATACAGAGAACAAATAAATCATACAGAGATAACTTATTATAACAAACACAGAACGTGAAACTGAGCTTTGTCAGATCATAGTAAGAAAAGCGTGGCCACATGATCTGTAGTTTAATCAGACTGTAAGTTGCATTCGTTTGCTTTCCATATGTGTTTGTGTCGTTTACTCGTAAAATTGAGAATGGAAATGGGGAATGTGTCAAAGAGACAACAACCCGACCATAGAACAGACAACAGCAGAAGGTCACCAACAGGTCTTCAATGCAGCGAGAAATTCCCGCACCCGGAGGCGTCCTTCAGCTGGCCCCTAAACAAATATATATATTAGTTCAGTGATAATGAACGCCATACTAAACTCCAAATTGTACACAAGAAACTAAAATTAAAAATAATACAAGACTGACAAAGGCTAGAGGCTCCTGACTTGGGACAGGCGCAAAAATGCGGCGGGGTTAAACATGTTTATGAGATCTCAACCCTCCCCCTATACCTCTAGCCAATGTAGAAAAGTAAACGCATAACAATACGCACATTAACATTCAGTTCAAGAGAAGTCCGAGTCTGATGTCAGAAGATGTAACCAAAGAAAATAAACAAAATGACAATAATACATAAATAACAACAGACTACTAGCAGTTAACTGACATGCCAGCTCCAGACTTCAATTAAACTGATTGAAAGATTATGTCTTCATCATATGAATATCAGGCACAATCCTTCCCGTTAGGGGTTTAGTATCATACCATCATAACATATATGAGAAGAACATAACCCGTGTCATGCCAACAACTGGTTTTTAAATAAATGTGTTTAGTGACGATGCAAAGACCCTATAAGTGAATCAATATTAACGCCAAAATATGCAATCTTTAATGACCTGACAACAGTATCGTAACTATATCACTTCTACTCAACAGTTAAATAGTTCGGAACTCGTACTATATCACTTCTACTCAACAGTCAAATAGTTCGGAACTCGTACTATATCACTTCTACTCAACAGTTAAATAGTTCGGAACTCGTACTATATCACTTCTACTCAACAGTTAAATAGTTCGGAACTCGTACTATATCACTTCTACTCAACAGTTAAACAGTTCGGAACTCGTACTATATCACTTCTACTCAACAGTTAAACAGTTCGGAGCTCGTACTATATCACTTCTACTCAACAGTTAAACAGTTCGGAACTCGTACTATATCACTTATACTCAACAGTTAAACAGTTCGGAACCACCCACTCATATTTTGTGGGAGCATGCCGTTTTTCTTTTAATAAATTGTTTGACACTAAATTTCTCGAAAACGAATATATTTCAGTAGGGAAGTGAACATAAATTAACATGTTTTTAATTGTATTCATAATATAAAATGGTATATCACCACTGAATTGGAAAAAAATGTTTGTCCAGAGAAAGAAAAAAATCATTACCCTCGCAAAAGAGGTCGAATGGTCAGTGTCTAATATAAAACTACTTTTAATATGTGTGAAATTAGAATCTCTGTCTTAAGATCGATTTTATTGTGAGGAAAAATAATGATTTTGACTAAAACCAAATTTATCCGGAACTTTGTAGATATTTTAATTAGAAACAACGTTGCAACCTTAAAAAAAGTTACCATTTTTAAATAGTGCAGTTTTACATATTCATGTAAGATAATTTTCAAAGGAGACAAACGGCGATAAACCTTCACAAGCTTAGAAAATAAATTAATTTCGGATATTCATTAGCACATCAAGATCTGTACACTTTATAAGAGTTCTGGAAAAGTCAATTTAACGTTTTGACAAAGAAGGAAATTTTTCTCTATTGCTAATGGATTTTTCTACTGAAGTACATTTATTCATTAATGTTACTTCATACCGACTAATGGTTCTAGTTTATTTCTTATTGCCCTTAATATAGATTATATTTATTTTCGATAATAAACCTCATTTTATGACAAGACGTGATTAATATTCATTATCGTTAATTTTCAAAGATCAAAAGATTTTCTTTAAATTTGAAAAGTAATCAAAATTGAGAGGAAATTAGGTGGGTGCATTCATTTTATTA